CCCTATCTGTGCAAGCGTGAAGGCTTCCGTCGCGCCTTACTAGTATAAACTCATTCTTCACTTCCTACTTAACAATGTAGTTTAGTAAAACTAAAAAAATACGTAATGTCGTACGTAATATCTTCATCATCCACAGCCTTTACTGTTCCACTGCTGGACATAGGTCTCTCCTTAGAAAGGAGGTTTTGGCCTATTATACCACGCTGGCCAGACGGGTTGGTATAGGGTTTGTTTCAAGTTTCCTTCTCTTTGCAGTGCTGTTATCCTGCGTAGTTTGCTCCCTTAGTCGGCTCTTACGACACCCATGGGATAACTAGGGGTGGTGACACTATGTATTCTTAATCCGTCACCACACGGAAATGTCAAGTGGCAAGTGTCAAGTACCATGTCAATATAATGTCAAGTTGAATTTAATTCAAAAAGTTTAAAAGGTTTTATTGTACACGTCATACCTTTAACTTTGGACCATCTTTACTAAGTCCAATCTGATGATGGTTGATGTGGTTTCGTCAAAACAAACCTTTCGAGCTCAAACTTGAGTTTTTGGTGCCGCTACTGCTACATCCGTGAGCTTCGAAACCTCGAATTAAAGTAGGGTAAAAATCAATTTCCAAGATTTGCGTATAAATTAAAACCATTATAAAATCATTATTGCACAGAAAAGCAATAATAATCTAATAGATTACCTAGTCAGTCTATTTAATATTTTTTCATAATGACAATATTATGAAAAAAATGAAATCGTTAATTAAATAAATAAGTTAGTCTAGTCTATGAGTAAGAGAAGTTTCTTTTTAACATCTATGCATTTAATAATTAAAAAAAACTAAAAGCATGAAAATTGATCTGTTTTGATAGAGATTATTACTACAAGTCAAAATAAAATAAAAATGCCAATCGCTAAGAACTTCCACGAATAGGAGTAGATTGTGGCCCGAACTAAAAATGAAGTTATTTAATCCTCAGGTATTAAATTAATAAGTAACTTTTAAAAATATTACCGCCTTCAATGCACCCACATCACGATGACTTATTATAAACTGTATTAATTGTAATAACAAACATAACAAAACAACAGAATTAAGAAACTGCTCTCTTTTGATAAGTCGGTTAAAAATATCCTCGGCATGTGGTATGTCAATATTATGGTGAGAAAGCTTATAGCACGTTACGCTGAGGTAAGTAGTCAGTAGTCACCTAGAAAATATACAAAGAAACGGCCGTTCTACTGTTCAAGTAAGAATAATAGAAACATTATTTTTAAGTTATTTTTCTTTTGCATAAATACCACTGCGGTTACTAGACGCCCTCATTAATACAGTAAAAGTTTGAAACTAGGTTACTTATTACAATATCTATTACTATTTATATTTTTAGGTAGAATTAAAAATTAATAGTGTTATTTTGTAGTTTACAATAGATGAAAGGCATTTTTTTATATCGCCAAGGCATACGAAGGGCGCTTGAAGAGTGTTCAGTTCACTCAAAAAGTTTTTAGTTCGTAGTTTTACCTGCATTCATGTTCACTTCTGTTTCTAAGAGTTTTATTGTGATATTACACAGCGTCCTCCTCAATGTCATCTAAGCCTTCTGTTCTTCTTTTAGAAACTGGTAAATCCAGAGATTAGCACGCCTAAAGAAATAATAAGATAAATAACAAGATAAATATTCAAATAAAAGAGCTTGTTAAACCAAGTGTTCTTAACGCAGTATGAATTGCGTAGATGTTGTACTAAAGAACAATGGCAGAAACATATTTACCTAAAACTTAAGCGTTTAAGAAATCGAGACACAGTAAACTTAATAAAAAAAAATTCTATGATTTATCATTACACTACCATGTGTTGTATAAGTCTTATAAGAGATAAAATATTTTTAAAGATTTTATTTGACCTAAGTACGTAATGTCAGATTCGCCATCACGTATAACTGACAACAATATTATATTATGGAACAATTTATCGATAATCGATTCTTATAGCTTTGGCTGAAATATTAACCGAAGGTTCACTATTATGATTATGAATTTGCTTCTGCCTACGTCTTCACTCGTACGGTAGAGTGACTGAATCAACATAATTAGAAATGATTTAAAATATTTTTGACTCTCTTTAAACGATTTTAAACACACTAAAGAAATAGAATATAGTTCCGTTATTTTCCACTACACAGTGTGATGAGAAAAATACATTGTCTTTGATAACGGCACATAAATAGACACATCGATATTTTCAAAATGTCGATACGTCGTCGTTTAGTACATATCTCTTAATCTGTGGTTTAGATCCTGTCAAGTTCCGGACTCACCACGTTTGTTATTTTATTTTTGTTTTATTTAGTGTTAAACTTGAATAGATGTTATGCTTTTATTTTATTTTTTTCATATACTGTAATAATAATGAAAATAATATTTTCGGCTATCTGACACACAACGCCATCTAGTTTCAAACAAAACATTAACAATATGTTAGTACTTAACCTCGAAACATTCGAAATCGTATATCTTTTTTCCTAGACTTCTTTCGCAAGTAATTTTGATATGAGAATGGTCAAGAATAAATTCTCAAGTGTTAAGGATTTTTTGATATTTAAACGCTAACATTTCAGTTCAAATAAAATTATGTATGGGGACCTGCCATTGTCCTTTCTGCTATAAAAATATTTTTCTTTGAATTGTTAATTTTGAGATTTGAACAATTAATGTATTTTAATTTCATATGATTTCTAAAAGCCGGAGACAATTTTATTGTTACCAATACACAGTCTGTCATGTAATCATTACATAACTTTTCTTCAAGATATGTTTCACACACGACGCTAATAAAACTATTCTGGATTGAACATGTGTTGAATTGTCTTTTGTTTTCGAAATCTGTGAGATTACGAGAGTAGCGTCGTTGGTATGAATGAAAGACCGAACGCTCGGTGACTCCGCTCGCCCCGCCTGCGTCCGCCTCGTTGCAGTCCGCCATACACTTTCACTGCTGGAATAGGCTTCACTACGTTTGTTTAAATCTTGTTAATGCACCTTTTATGTCTCCTCCGTAGATGTATCCGGCTGATGTGACAGCTGTTGACTCGCATTTCTAATTGTGGTCAACTGCAGTATTATATATATGTATATAAACTTTTTATTCAACAGGTGTGTTGAGCATCTCTTTCTCCCGAGAGAAGTACTTGGCTTGTTTTTATAAAAAGTATTTCAACTTTCTTATTTGTAATTGAAAAATATCAATGGTTTATGTACGTTAGTTATCTTTACAAGAGAATGAGACGTTAAAGGCTGTACCGGTACACCGGTACACCGGTACAAATATTTATTTTGGGAATACATACATGTTTTTTATTATTTTACTAGTCGACAACGCACGTAAAGTCAGCAGGTATGGTACTGGCCTTTTTTTAACGTGTGGAAACCCCCTTGCGCGATCGTGCTAATTTGGTTTGCGACGGGGCGGTGTGTTGGAATCGAACCGCACAGTATGCCACTCTGCGTGAAATAGGAGAGCTAAAGGAACAGCTCTCTCTCAGGAACAGGGAAGACGAGTAGACGGGTCACCTGGTGAAAAGTGACCATCGCCACCCATGAATGTCTGCAACTCAGGATTGACAAACGCTTCTCTGCCTTTTAGGAAGGAGTACGCTGTTTTCTTGAAGGTTTGAAGGTCGTAACGGTCCGGATACAGCAGACAATAACCCCTTTCACAGATTGGTTGTGCGAGGCAAAAAGTGTCTTGAATACCGCACAGTCATGGGGCGCCAACTATCTAGATGACGGGGATTAACATTTCTTCTTTTCGGTGAATGCACAGACCTGTGATTTCATGTAAAATACCACCGTTTAAAAAAATTGACGCAGAATACGCATAAAGAAGTTTAACCTTCCTTACAAATTACCTACTGAACCAATGTGACCTTTCAAATGTATATTTGTATATATAATATGTGAATACTAATGAAAATAAAGCAAATTATAATACACAGTAACTTAAGTGGTTTTGTGTTTAAATAGAACCTTTAGTGGTATTTTGTTTGTGCTGTAAATTTGTAGTACTTTCTAAATTAACTAAGCAGTTGTATTTAGCGCAATTAGACAGATTGCGCTAAATACAACTAAGCTAAGCTAGTTAAGTTTAAGGGGTAAATTAACAAGAATGCCAGTATTTAATGGGATTAAGACTAATGATGATCATCGTTTCATAATCCTACAATATCCCAAGTTTATCTATAATCGGTGCCATACCCGGTGCAGTACTAGGCTTTGTAATGTAAATGTAATCTTCTAGAGACAGTAATCGATTTCAGACAAGAAAACCGAAGAGGAGAACTTGCGGGGTATTAAGGTACCTTCCTTACTCAGTGAAAAGCAATAGAAAAATAGCCTAAAAACGGTTTTCTGTGAGGCCGGTTCTATAGAGATATCTCTTCGGTTGAGCCGGCCTAAATTTGCTGAAACATGGCTATCAAACGGCTGCAAAATAAAATCTTCAAAATATGTCAGTTTTCATTCTTTATCAAGAATATTAATTTCACAGTAATAAACTAAACTGGCTGATTCAAACGCTATCAATATGATTGTCATTTATGGTCATATTAACGTTTGAACATGTACCTTAACTTTTATAGATTGGCTAATAAAATGTTTCTATTTAGTAATGAACACAGTAAACATTGAAATATCCTGCATTAATATGGAAATGGAAAAAAACATTAAATTAATGAAAGTTAAGTAATGAATGAATGAACTTCACCTTCACCTTTACACGTCAATACCTTCTATTAGAAAAAGATAGCACAATGCTATAATTTTTCAATTACGCTATATCTCCTGCTATACATAAATTATGTTTTCTTGTAATGCTTGTTTGAAAGAGATCAAAATGCCGATAAGGTCACTTATTGTATACGTAATACAGCATTTTAATCGTATGATACAAAAATACACAAGAAATTGGTAAACAATATATTTCACGATAAGACACTGGTCTTTAGACCTTTAGTTAACCTTGTTTCACTGCTTGACTGTAACTGTACGGGCGAATGGGGCTTCCTTTACCTTGGCTGTCATAGTAGTTAATCAGTGACTTTACACTACCGGGTCCAGGAGTCGTGGCAGGGTTAGCAACGGGAGAGGGGTTTACAGGGATGGGTTTGATTTGACCAGGCGATTGAGCCGGCTGTCGTGGGTTTTGTGGCAATGTCGCACTTGGTTTTCCAACTGGAGCCGGGGTCACCGATGGTGGAACTGCAGGCTTAGCAGCAGGAGCTGCTACTGGTGGCTTAGTAGTAGGTACGGGCGCTACCGGTACCGCCGGCTTTGGTGGTTCAAAGACCGCTGGTTTGCCCCGCACTCCCCCACTCTCCATATTGATAAAGTCGACGTTGGCATTTTTATTTATTGGCGCATATACCTTGCGAGCTGTAAGTGAAATTAAGAATTTGTAAATACGACAAATTTAAAGGGACTAAAATTTTAAACAGATATAAACAATCTAATAATTTACATTACAACTAATACGGAAAAAGATTAATAGGACCCAATAGTACATGAAACCTATCAAAAGAAATGTATTTTATAATAATCTATGTAAATAGAATAAAATAATAAACTTACCTTCAACATAACACACGGCAAACAACAAAATAAGCGGCGCAACCTTCATCATGAACACAACCTCCGTACGGAACTAGTTTTTTATACTGATGTACAAAATATTAAGCAGTTTTGTATATGCGCGGATTGGTTGATATCTAGATTCTCCAGGGTCAAGACAGCGCACAATCCAACTGACACGTCAATCCGTCAGCGACCTCTTGCGAGGAGTGACCTCATCGATAACACGTTTCTTGTTAAAGGCGGCATGTTTATAATGCCCGTGTACACTCTAATATAATATTATAACATAATATTTACTTAATAGTTTAGAAATAGTGCCTATAATTGTATTAGTCAAATATTATTTTCTTATGTCTTACTTCTAGTAAATAATTTAGAAAAATACGTACTTTATAATATCAGTAAAAATGCAGCTAGACCGTTTCGAAATAGTGTATGTGTATTTTAGCTGAACACATTGTTGAGCTAAAAGAAAGCAGAAACATCGTTAAGTAAAAGTGTTTTAAAAATACACATTTTATTTTCTATTTCGTTACGATTTGTTTTCGGAGGACCCTAGTGATGGTGGCATGTGAACAATCGAAGTGTCTACCACAGGGTAAAAATTGGGTGTAATTTATCTAAAATATGTATCTATTTAAAAATACTTATATAAGTATGTTTATCAGTCTGGTGATCATAGTACAGGCTCTGCCTAGTTTGGGATCAGACTTCCGTGTGTGAGATGTGTGAGATATACTTATATAAAAAAAAACAATAGAATCATTATAACAGACATCACTACGAGTATAATGTATCAAAGGTATATCGAATTAACAAATTTATTATAGCACAGGTATGTTTAGGGAAGTAAGCGAGATATTATATTTAAACAGATTGTCGTTTTACTGGTCATGCCAAGAAGTTTTAAAGTTTCAGAGTTGGATTTGTGGTCCTCTAAAATAATAGAATAACATTTTTTTTTAAATAATCTAAGAATAATAATATACACTGATGAATCTTTCTTCTAACTAAATATACTTTACCATATATGTTATTTTGGCAAAAAAAATTGTTTATTTACATATATTTGGTATACATCAAATTATATCAGTAAGGCAATGAAGACTAAAGTTTGTAAGTGTATAAATTCTGAACTGACTTTTAATGATTATCATATCATAACATTTCCAATATACGCCATTTACTTCTTACAATAAAAATGGTTAGAAAATTTTAGTTCCTATTTACATTTAAGAAGTAAAATTTGTAAAAGAGCAGACTTTTTTTTGATATTCAATTGTCTGTAAACTAGTGAAAGTGTTATAAAACGTTGACGCTTTTTTTAAGCATAATTCGAATTTAGTTATTTATTCACGGTAAATATCAATTCACGAATAAATTACTTTACCTTTGTATACTAAATAAATGCTTTTGCTATGAGATTTAATATTCCTTCTAACGTACTGTATAGGTACATAACTGCAGTGCACTCTGCATGCGTCTTTTGATTGCAATATGGGCTAGTCATGAGATGGTTTGTAGTTTGTGGCCAACGTGCCCATCACTTAACTGCAAAGACAAAGACATTTATTGCAAAGAAAACTGTGTTACATATATAGATGTTTTGTGGTAAGTAAAGTTTCAACAGTTACCCAATCGGGCATTGCAATTTTAAAGTACCTACACTATAAATAAAAATGGAAGATTACAATAAGTTCAAAAGGCATGCAAATTATTTTGTGAGAAAATACTCCTGCAAATTATAGAATACATTCTTTATTAACCATTTCTTTAGAGCATTCTTGAACATTTTTCCATCTAATATCTTTATTTCTAGCGGGAGCTTATTAAATACTCTTATTGCTGTTATGTATGTGCTTGTTATGTATGTATGTATGTGCTTGTGCAAATTTGTAACAAAGGTTGGTCGTCGTAACCGTTGGTAAGGGTTTATAAGGAAAGTCTTTTGCGGCCCCTCTTTAACTGGTAAAGTTACTTTATTGCTAAAGATGAATCCAAGTTTTCAGATATGTATAAATATATCCATGTCATGTGTCCTTCTAGAACAGTGTTAGCTGGTGTAATTTTATGCGCCGAATGCACCTTCGATGTCTAGAAAAGTTCCTTTAACAAGCAAATGGCTTTATTCCTAAAGCGCTAATTCGATTAGGGTGTAAGGGTATATTATGCTCTCTTAACCATACTTTGAGGTTTTCTTAATTTACTGACTGTAACTTGGTTTTAATATGAAGATCATTTCCACCTCCCGCCATTGGGGCCCGTCTCCAGAGAATGTTCACGTCCAATCCCACGTAAGATAAGCCCTTTTTTTTTTTTTTTTTTTTTTTTCCGTGCGGAAATCCCCTCGGATACCACCTGTCGGTGGCATGTCGGACCCGAACCGACTAAAACCGCACGCCTTCGCCGGGTACTAATAGCCGGGGAACCAGGTATACCCTAGAAAGGAAGGCCCTGGTGCCCCGACATACCTCGGGTCATCTACAGACGAGTAGACGACCCCCGCCCCGTGTGGGAACCCCATGTTCCCTGTGCTCCCTGAAAGCGAGCGCGCTTCGCAACGCGCTCGCCGCCACCCCGGCCTGCTTCTGCTAGGGTGACAGATGGCCTCACCTGTCACCCCCAGGCCTGCGCTTATGGAGGACGGAGGTCGTTCTGCGACCTCCGGCGCCTGAGTGACCTGCGCTGCCTGGCCCGTGCCCGGGCCTGGCGGGCCGGGAGAGTTCTAAACCTCTCCCGGTCCCGCTCCGCCGTCTCCTTCGCGAGCATAACTTGCTCGCAGAAGGAGACGGCAGAGTTCCACGCACTCTCGCTCCGCACGATAGCCGCAATCAGGCTATCGAGCGAGAGAACTCCCACTCCGATGGCCGCCACGAGGTCTCGCCTCTGCTCAACCCACGCCGGGCACTCTGCCAGCGTGTGGAGAGCCGTGTCCACGGTCTGGCCATCGCAGTGGTGGCACTCAGGCGTTGGCTCCTTGCGGATCAGACACAGGTGATCTCCGAAACATCCCTTCCCAGTGATCACCTGCGTCAATCGGTATGAGAGGGTCCCGTGACGCCTCTCGAGCCAATCCTCCATAACGGGTCTTACCGCCGCAATGACGGCGTGCCCGACGTAAGATAAGCCCTAAACATTACGGTTAGTTAGAAAAAAAGAGAGAAAAGTCTCCTATGAGGAAAGGGTAGAATGATATTATCGTTGCAAGACAATGAAAATAAATTAAGCCCCATCATGTATTTTCCTTAATACAGATTTGATTACTTGGGATAAAATGCATAAATGTATTACCCAGAACGGCTCCAAATAATTCGTATTACTGAATTTTTGGCACAAAGAGTTTTAATAAATAAGACAAGTAGATGTAACATTAAAGTGCTCGTTTACGTTTGCGCTATTTAGACTACATACTTAGTTGATAAGGAAATAGCGCAGCCGCAGTCGGTTACTGGGCATGCAGATAAATGACAATAAAAGTAGAACACTGTCTTAATTAACTCGTCCATAGTTTGTATTCCGAAGCGTGCAAATATAATTTGCATGATAATAATATTACACTAAGACTCCGTTTACTATGTGACAAAAGAGAAATGTAAAAGTAATTAGGTACGCTTAATGGCAAATTCATAAAAAGTTAAATATACTCCACATCTATACTATTGGGATGTATGGGGGCTCGGTTAAATAAAAAGGACTGTTCTCGTTAGCTCCACAGTTATATTAATATAAATCTTAAAGAAATACACAGTGCAATTTATAAGCGCAACATAAGCAATAAATTGAGACTGTTGAGACATCGTTGCAAAGGAGTATACTTACTGAATAATATAAAGGAACTTACATACACTACACTATTATGTGTGTAGTATATTTGATGAGGGTTACACAGGTAGTCTGAAAAGTTTCCGACCTCAACACGAAGATGGCAACACTTGTGAATAAAAAGTGAAATTCGTTGTTCAGCTGTTGACAGTTCAGCCATTTTGGACGCGCAGGTGTTATGTAACAGTCGTTGGAGTGAGTTGATATGAGTGTTTCATATGAGTGCTGTCATAAAATATTTGTTTTTGAAAGGCAATACGTCTACGCACATCAAAGATGAGTTGGATTCTGTGTATTGAGACTCTGCATCATCATTTACAGGATAAAATTTTGGGCAGCTCAATTTAAACATGGCCGTAAGAGCTTGGGAGACGATGAACGTTTGGGACGTCCAAAAACTGCAACTACCGACGAAAACATCGCCAAAGTTCACCATTTGAGAGAGATAGCAGAGGTTATGAACATTTCAAACAACGTGTTTGTCACATATTTAATCAACATTTAGACATGAGAAAGCTGTCCGCGCGTTGGGTGCCGTGTTTGCTCACATTACAGCAAAAACGTGTTTGTATGAACATTTCCAACGCTCTGTTGGCGCAGTTTAGGCGCAATAAATCCGAGTTTCGGCGCCGATTAATTACTGTAGATGAAACTTGGATACACCATTATACGCCAGAAACAAAAAAGGCAAAAACTGTTTATTCGGCATGGAACTGCGACAAGTGACGGCGACTGTTTATTGGGATAGTCATGGAGTTATTTTTATCGATTATCTCCAGAAAAGAAAAACCATTACAGGAACATACTACGCATCATTACCTGACAAGCTGAAGGCAGAACTTGCGGAAAAACGGGTACTATTGTAGAAAAAGAAAATCCAGTTTCACCAAGGTTGTCTTGGTGAAACTGGATTTTCTTTTTCTGAAATAGTGGTCGCACCGTCTCACACCTCAGCGGATGCCATGGCAAAAATCCATGAATCACGGTTTGAAGTGCTTGACCAAAAAAGTCAAAAAGTGCTTGCTTGAAAAATTGCGCTCGGAGGACAGAGATATTCGTCTAACGAAGAAGCAATCACCTTCGTGAACAATTATTTTGCAGAGAAAAACGCCGGGAGCATCGCTGGGAGAAGTGTGTAGAGTTACAAGGAGACTATGTTGTAAAATAAAAATAAAAACTGAAAAAAGGTCTTGTATCTTTGTTAGGTCAGAAACTTTTCAGACT